GGCTCCCCATCCACTGACTTTCTATCAAACATTAGCCAATTTGAAGAAATAAACTGTCAGAGCCAGGGACAGAGAAGGACAAAAGGGAGACCTTTAATCATCTAAAAGTATAACGTGACCAGAATTTAGCCCCTGGCTGGGAGTCAACTTTCCTTCACCTTTAGCTCAGTCCTAGTCCAGGGCTTGCCCTTGCCACATAAATATTCATTGTATAGACTCCCTTGGCTCCCTTTAAAATAGTAACAGAGACACAGTCATTTGCTCTTGCTCTTAAGAAAGATTAAAAGTAAATTGGAATGAGTTCCATCACAGTAGAGACACTGAGATCTTCTTCCCAAAATAGATACCAGGTCAGAATTAGAAAAGATTGGAACTTAGATGCAGTGGACCTGTCAGACAGGGGAATGTGTCATAAGTTCTAGAACAATCTACAAACCTTTTTTAAAGTATGTTTTGGCCGAAACAATGAAGGATCTAAAGGGAAAGATATAAGGAATAAGTAAGGCATGGGATTTATCTGCCATTTATTGTGTAAGGTAGAGAAATTTTTAATTGAAGTTGTATTTACCTTACACCTTACTGTGTGGGGAAAAAAACCTACAGAGACTAAATTATTAAGAGATGAAAAATTAAAATGCAAAGTTTTTCTATGCTATTAAATGATCACCATAACAAGTCATTGTTTGGGAGTTAATGTCCCAACTTAAACAGATTAGTTGTATTACTTACAAATGACAATGGAGAGGAAAGAGAAGAACACTACTTTTTTTCACAAAGGAAAGAGATTGTTTCCTTAATAGATTTTTTTAAGAGGAAGAAGATGTAGAGGAATGTAAAAAGGCAGCGTTCTTATGAAGATGGATATTAAATCCACTGGCCCCTCCCCATTTAGTATTTTACTCAACACATCTATGGCACCGGGACCCTTTCTGGATTTGATCAGATGACAACAGTAGCAGAAATCAGAGTTAAGAAAATCGCTTGGTGAAAGGGAGGCACAGCAAGGTATATACAGGTGAGACAGAAGAAAAGGTGCTATTTGTATACTCTCCTGAACAAGAGCTATGCATTCTGAGTTTTTATTGTTTCAGAACTTGGAGTCATTTTTGTTTAAATGTGAATGCTGTTGATTAATAGTGACATAAAGGTGAAATTTTGTGAGTTGTTATTTATCTTTGCTTCTCAAAGTGTGTCCTTGGATCTGCAGTTATCAGCAGAACCTAAAAGTCTGTTAGGAATACAGACTGTCTGGACCCGCCCATTTGTATGTATATTAGAGTCTGGGAAGAATTGTTCTAGAGGATTTATAAAAAAGCAAAGGGGTTGAGAAGTTTGGTTAGTTGTCCTCAGGTCAGAACTCACACTCTCTGTGGACAGTACTGTTACATACATTGCCCAACAGGAGAATCAACCCCCCCTCCCCCACCCCCAGCATGTCTTTTGAAGCACTGACAATCACACTTACCAGAGTTTCCCACTAACTATTTGTACATGTGTTTAAAATACTTTCTATATGAAGCACAAGCAACAAAGAAAGGAAGAAGACAGGAAACAGAGAAGAGGGAGAGAGGAAGGAAAGAAAATCCTCATATACGTTATTATTATTTTGACTACACATTGAACCAGAGGCCTTTTACTCTTAGAGCTTATGATTTGAGCCCCAGTTGATATTCCCAGACACAAAATATGCATCCTTCTCCCTCCCAAGCTACAAAATACTGAATGCAGCATGTACTTGTCATACATAAAGGTATAGAATTTACATAAGTAAGATGTTTGAACAATAACAGAAACTGAATTGATATGTTACTTTAAGGAGAAGAAATGATCTGCATGATAGCAACAAATTGGAGATTTGGCTAAAAAAGATCTGGGAGACAAGAGTAGATAAACTCAACCATGTATGGGAAGATTCTTGCTGCCAAGAACTCAGATGAAGAGCTCATAGAAAATCAGATTTCCACACAGAAAGTTTTCTCTGCTACTCCTTGTCACGTGATAACAGCTATGTGAAGAAGGGAAGAACAGGGTTACCTGAACACAGATGATATGAAAAAGGGGCTGTGGAAGGCAACAGAGTAGTGAAGATTAATATTCAACTGAATATTTCTTTTTTAGTGGAAGGAGAGTGACCAGTTGATTTCTGTGTCCAGGAGGAATCAAATCAAAGATAAATCTCCCTTAAGCCAAAAAATAACTTATCTGGAACTAAAGATAATTTTCTCTAGTGAGATATATCAGTCAGAGATGATGTTAAGAGTTGCAAACTTGTAGCAATTCCTATTGTAGACCCTCTCCTAAAACAGCTTTATTCCAGTACCTCTGGATAAAATGAAGAATTATTTCAAAAATAAAATTGGGGAGAAGATGTAATGGGAATCAAGGTTTCTCTTGGTGATATTGAGGGATACTTCTGGGTTAATTGCATATGGTCAAACTTCATATTTTGTAAATGCATTCTGCTGTGATTTCTCTGAGTCACTATGTAATAAGGAAGCAGAGGTGATGCAACTAAGACTGAATCCATTAGCTAAGGATGGCTCTGCTCTGAAGAATGAGAAAAGTAACAAATAGACCTATGTCTCCAGGTCTAATAAGTTGTCCCTTTATAAAGCCGTCAAAGAGAGCAGACACCACCAGTTCTGAAGAGTACCAGGTTCCCTCTTTAGGGAAGTAAGTGACCTTCCAGCTATATACTTCATGATTTGGAAAGAATACATTATTTTGTGAGCACATTTATAAAAGTATATGGTGCCACGCTGCTAAAATATATATTCTCTGTTTACCACTAAATTCATTATAAAAATGAGAAAGTTCTGTTATTGAAATATGAAAAATATGAAACAGCACTTAATAGAAAAAGGAAGCCAGGAAAGAGGTACTCAAAAACTAATATGCTCAGCATAATATTTCAGTCAGAGACAGGCATTGCTTCTGAGACAGATGCCTGTAAATCTCACTGAAGCAGCATTGTTTCAAAATTTCCCCAGTGTCAGGAAATTATATTAAGCACAGGAAAACAGAAACATCGCAGGCACTGGATTTCCAGGCCTGAGTTTCTGGTTCAAAGCAGTTAGCAATGGCAATAGGTACACTTTTAAAAATTACTCAAACTGAACTGTTCCTTACAGACAGATAAGTGAGTTCTAAGAACCTTATTGAGAGGCTTCACTTACTGTGGACATTATTAAACTAAGAACAATATGTGAGTGATCAAATTTTATTCTCTAAAATTCAAGTATTTTTCACTAGTTTTGTTGGTTTGAGTTCAAAAGAAGTACATGTTAATGGCAGACAGAATTCTGCTCATGTTTTTCATTAGTAGCAGTAACTCTTGACATGGTACTTTTTATTACTCATTCAAAAAATATTTGAATTTTTTCCTCAAAACTTCTTCCAGAAGATAATTAGTTGTGGCTATTCATTTTGAAAATGCCTCTAATTATGAAAAAGCTGGTTTAGATAAAACTTGCTTTACAGACTTTTTTCTTTATAAAGAGGCACAATAAATGTACAAGGGCAATTTTAAAACGAACATTTCTTGTGCTTTGATTTAAACTTGGCTATTACATGTGACCTGACATTATTCTCAGATGAAAATATAATCCATATATTTCTAAGATGTTGATTTTATGAAAAATAATTTGGCAAATAAAATCCACTACAATGCTGTATTTTGATTGATTAAATGGGTACCCATTAAAAATTTTATTTAAAACAAGCAATCTTTTTTTAAATGTTTGTTCTTTTAAAAAGATGATCCTGGCTGTAGCAAAGAGGTGGCATGACTCGCGTTTGGACCTTCAAGATATTTGAAAGATATTCTAACTTCCCTTCAGCTGAAATAGAAAATGTTAGTGCTCTAAAAGCAGCGCCTGGCAGAAATCTGTTATATAAAATGCCTTTTCAATTTTTGCACTCTATTACCCTTTACTATTATTGGAAAATGGTGTTATCGCCTGATTACTGAGAAAGCACACAAAAATCTTGTCTTCCAAATCCGAGTCAGTCCTTGACTAGTGTTGAACAAAGCCAGACCATCTGCTCTGAATATCATTACTACTTTGGTCAATGGGCAAAGGTTTTATCCTCTCTGCCTCCTACGGAGGTTTAAGATGAAATAAAATTTGAAATGAAATTAGTAGACTAGAGACATTTGAACAAATAGAATTTTCCAATGAAAGTCACATTTGTTAGCTTATCATTGTCACCATCATTTAAATGCTCACTTTCACCTCAGACTTAACCTTTGGGGTCTCCATTTTACAAAAAGAAAAAAAAATAGCGAAAAACTTAATCCCAGAGTTTCTGCAATAAACGCTTAGGAAAGAAAACGGGCGTGTGGGTGAATATGAGTCATCAGTCACCCCCACCCTGCTTCCTGGTGATTCTCCATTGGAAAACCAAGGATTGAGCTTGTGTATCTATTTTACCAGAATAACACTATATCCCAGGCCATGTTAATTTCCTGAACTAAACAGTCCCTAATCTGTTCAAAGGCAGCTGGCTAACTGCTGGTGTCTGGCAAGTGCCCCATCTGTCCCCCTACCCCGGTCTCTCTCCTGTCTTCACTTTCCTTTCTCTCAAGCAGGCGTCTCTCTTTGTTTTCAGGGGTGTCGTCCACCTGAACTTTCCTTCCTATGCTTGAAAACTTGAGCTCTTTTCCTCTACCCTGCGGACCTCGGGCTTTGTCTAAGTGACAAGACAGTTGTGTTGACTGTAGTTACGACGCTGGTGATGGTGGAGATCATGACGGTGATGGTGGAGATGGGGGTGCTGATGGTGTAAGGAAGCGCAGGCTGAGCGAGCGCAGGGAGGAGGAGGATGGACCACAGAGGTTGTGGAGAGTGGGGTGCGGGAGGAATGGAGTGCGTAGGGATTGCAGATGGGAGCTATCCACGCACCGAAGTGCTGAAACGCCGCAGCCATAGCATTGCTAGAGAAGGGGAAAGGTGGGGAGGCGCAGCAAATACAGAAGGGTGAAAAAAGGCAATAAATACCTTCACAGGGTCCCTCAGCCTTGCTTTGGGAATGTGTTTCTGCAGGTGTCCTCGTTGCTGAGCTGAGTGGGTGAAATCCCCTATTCTGCCAGGTTCGGGATCAGATTTCTCTAGAAAGCTCTGAATGAGAGCCCCGGTTTCACAGGGCTGCGATTTTGGTAGGAGGCGTGTGCGCGCCTGAGACTTCAGTTCTTCAGACCGAGCTTGGCTTTCCCCTGGGTCCTAAATACCTCCTCTCCGTTGTCATTTCTCCGCGTTCCATCAACACAATACCAAGATTTATAATTTTGTGACATTTAGGACCAAAAGTAACTAATCCACTACCCGCCCACCGACACGCAAAATTAAAAACATAATCTTTCAAACCTATTAACCCAGGCTCTAAAACAGACCTGTGTCTGTGTGTGTATGAAAGAGGGAGAGAGAGGGAGAGAATGTAACAGATTTTTTTAAAAAGTATTACAAACCTATAAAAGGATAGATTGTTTTATTAAAAAATGGTGGGGGGGGGACGAACAATTTGGAAAAGATCAAATTAAAACAAAATTAACCACATAAATTAAGGAACGGAATAAGAAGTGTTTAAGGAGGAGAAACTTGTGAAATATTTTACTGATTTCAGGATAGGCAAGGTTTTCTAAGCACAAGAGGAATAGAAGCAGTTACAAGAGGGAAAGGCCAAAATTTTCAAAGCACAAAAATATTTTTTAATGTAATTTATCATAAAAATCTGAATATTAACGATCACTTGGAAAAATACAGTTGATAGATATTTCATACATAAAATATCTCATTTATCAAAAGAGAAACACAAAAATCTCAAAGGAAAAAAAGGAGGAATAACACATGACAAAGAACTCCTAGGAAGAGGTGAATGTATAACAGACACATTTTAAAAAATCCATTTCACCAGTAAACATAAATATATAATTTAAAAAATCTCCTAGTTACTGTTACAGCCAAGGTTCTAAATCTAGTTACTAAATCTACTTATATAGTTGAAAAAGTGCAACATTTGTATAAATATATATTATAACAATATCAAGTATAAAATATATATTCATTTAGACCCAGTAACTTCACTTTCTATACTGGGGATATAAATAGATAAATAGATAAAGACTTGTTTATTTAAATTTAATTTATGATAAAACTGTCAACAATAATGAAAACATTACAATTTTATATAGTCAAACAATTGCAGCTTAATAACTGCATATATTTTAAAACTACTAAAGATAAAGAACAATGCTTATAAGATGTTAAGTGAAGGAAGGCAAGATACCTAATACAGTATTTCCTCTCTCCCAATTATCATGTTGATAAGAGTATGTAGGTTAGTGAAATAAAGGTAATCAGAAAACTTGATTTTATAGTTTACATTTATCTAAAGTGTGCATATTTAATTAATAAAAAATATTAAATATTTTACAACAATCTTTTTATCATATATTCCACAGAGGATTAAGGTGTTTAGTTTACGTCTATTTCTGGACACGGAAAGAAGTATGCCTGGAATACCACAGGCATTCAATATATATTTGTTGAATGAATGAATGAATGATGTACCCTCACACCTGAAGATGTAATTAAATATATTCTATAAAGCAGCAAATTTCATATACAAAGTTATCAAAAAACTAGCACACCAAAATCATGTAAGTTTGCTTCTGAGTTTTGATTACTTATAAACTCATGGAAAGAGGAATCTTCAAAGTTAGAGCTACTCATGAACATAATTTGCAAAGAGCCATCAAATGTGAATTATTTAAAGGAAAAAATATTTCTACAACTAATTTCTACTCCAATTCTCTGCATTTCTTCTTGATCCTGATTTCTTTAAAAGACTGGAAGACTTTTTTTTTTTTTGGTAAGAAGTGGATATTAATTATTCCTCTTCCTCCTTTTCTTTTCCATAACCACTAACAGAAATATAAACCAAGACCAATACCTAAGTGTTTCATTAAGAAGCCTGTGATTACAAATTATTTTTTAGGGCCTCCCTGGTAGAGTAAGGGTTAAGTTTCAGCAGTATCACCCCTACCACATGAGTTTAGTCCCCAGCCAGGGAGTTACATGGCACAACAGGACCTCTCCTATCTCCCTAATGCTCCCCTCAGCAGTGTATTTCAGTAAATCCACCTGTTCTGCTCCCTACTTTGTCTCTCGTGAGTCTTCTTGCCCCTATGCCTCTGGTCTACTCTCCAGTTCTTCTATAAATAAATAAATAAATAACTTTTTTTTTTTTCAGAATGTAAAATGAATTCAGATACCTTTGCTCAGGTGACATTTACCCTGTTTTTTTCTTCACTATCAATAATGATTTTGAACAACACCAATGATAACCTAACCAGGATTTGTCTGTATTTTTTAACTTATGAGAGAGGAAAAAAAAATTCTCTCTCTTTCTTTCTGTCTCACTCTCACTCAGTCAGCCCTATGTACTCTAACTCTCTTTGTCACCACTTTATAAAAGACAAATATCTAAGACACTCCTGCTTGATCATGTCATGTTACTGACTACTGGAATACAGTCTTATATTCTGCACATTTGAAAAAATAGTTTTAAAATTCCTTGCAAATATCATAGTAAAAAGATTAGTTTTATTTCAAAATAAGTCACTTTTAAAACAGATATGCTTGATATATTGATGGATTATTTTTTCCCAGTGAAAGCATACCACTTCCTTTTCCATTCATGGCTATTGTCCTTGTACTATTTATGTTAACACCTATTTTTAGATATTGTTTAAGATTCTTACATAAGAGCAACTACCCTTTCCTATGTACCTATGTATTCACTGTGTTGGATTTGTCATTTTGTTTCCTGGAGTCAGGATGTCTTTGCTCAAATCTTTGACCTGACAAGTAGAACAAGACATCTCTGATGCCTTCTTTTCTTATCATTTTTTAAAAATTTATTTTTTCATCAAAGAACTGGGGTGTAGGCCAGAGGTCCAGGGGTGAAATGACTCACCAGAGACAGATTGGGGAGCAGAACAGGTGGATTTACTGAATACACTGCTAAAGGGGAGCAGTAAGCGAAACAAGGGATCTGCCACACCATGTAGGTCACCTCCCAGGCAGGGATCCAATTCAGGCAGAAGTGTGATAGTGCTGAGATTTAACTTTCTCTTCTTTACTCACCCTGATTGATGTTGTGTTGATATTTTGCACATTGTGCTCAACCTCCATTTCAGCTCCTCATACTACAGCTGCATATGTGTGCACAGGAATCCTCCATCTACCCCCTTTTAGATAAACAACCAATTTTCAGGTTGAAAGTATGGGTGGTTCACCTTATGCCTGACTTTCTGAGGTCAGTTACTCATTTCAGGACTACTTTAAAGGACTCTGGAAATACTGGGTTCACTATGGTCTAGGTTTGGATGAGTAAGTGTACTATCTGTGGGCTCATTATTAACAGATAAAGGTTATATCCACAAAGGGTGCTGAGAGTCCTCATAGAATGGGTAACATGCAGAGAAATCTTAGTATTTATGAGTTATTAAGATGACATTGCAAGAGCAAAGCAATACAATTCTAGAGAAGTTACCTAGCTTCAGTGTTTAAGGAGTGGGGTAATACATGAAGAATAAGGTAAAATTGTAAAAATGCTATTTTGTTCTTCCCATAGTTTTGTAATGTACAACTTAATATATCCCCATTAGAGATTGTCACTGTTATTTCTGTTATGTAATATATAAGCCAATTCTGAAGATTTCCAGGTTGAATGAGTCAGGATAGGTGATATAATGTTGAAAGAAGAAATTGCCTCTGCAGTCTCAGTGGCTTCTGATAATAATGGTTTCTTTCTTGTTATACAAGGTGTAATGGAGAAGGTGGAAGTCTGTTCTTTTTCGTACCTAGGGACCAGGTAAAGATCATCACAGCAGGGAAGGATAATGCATGGAGAACTCACACTTCCCTTTGTGCTTCAGCCTGGAAGTAAAACATTCTGCTCACCACTCACCTGCTAAATTAAGTCACATGCATTGCCTCCACCACTATATGCTAAGAGTCTAGGAAATACGGTCCAGCAGAGGGTGATTTGGTGAACAGTCAATGTTTAAAATTCCTGTGGTAACTTCATTACCAACAGTCTACTTTTGTAGTTGTCTGGAAACCTCTTCGCTCCCTTCTTAATACACATAGACATATTCAACTCATTTTGGAACATTCCTTCAGTCACTACATCCAGGTTCAAGTTCTAGATCTCTAAGTTTTATTTCTTGGTTTTGTCACTATACCACATTCAGATTTGATGCCATTGCTCCAGAGATGTATGAACAAAAGCTACAAATGTTCTGCAACCCTTAAAAGGACAGAATAACTCCAATAAATGCTCCTACTCTGAGAGGGAAGGATGGAAAGGTACTTGGCCATCATTTAGCTCAGTAGTTCTCAAATCACACTGGGCTGTTGGGACAAAAACTCTTTCCCAGCAGGCGTGGATAGGGAAGGAGGAAGGTAAGAGGGTATTTCTTTTTAAAATTTATTTATTTATGCATAAAAGAACAGGGGTACAGGCCAGAGGTGGGAGGGGTAAGAGGAGTCACCAAAGACAGAGTGGGGAGCTGACCAGACAGATCCACTGAAATATACTGCTGTGGGCAGCAGTGGGTGGGTCAGGAGAGGTCTGCTGTGCCATGTGGGTCACCTCCCTGCCTGGAGATTGGCCCATGAGGTTAATTTTGATTAGAGCCTTACTCTGTTCTCTGGGAAAAGATCCCTGTCCCTTTGTTCTCCATGACCTCTGGAGCCAGACTTTGAGAGTGTCTTGTTTTCTCCACTGTACTCCTTGGCAACATCGAAAATGGGAATTAGAAAACATGCCCTCAGTTGAACTTGAGTTTCCAATTTTAGTTTCGGTTTTACTTGGGTCACAGCAGACATCCAGTTCTTTGAGTGGCAATATGGACTCAAGAAAAGCACAACCACATAATTAAACATTTATAAATTCCAGAGTTATTACCACAAAAGATTAAGTGGGTTGGAATACTAAAAAGATGGGCAAGGGAAAGTGGTGGACAAACCAATACTCTGAATTAATTGGATTGCTCTGACTTAACCAATACCAGATGACTTCTGCTTATTGACATTTCAAGTTTTCTTAGAGACATCAGGGAGCCCAAATCATGGATACTTTAATTGGTCTCGTGAAG